TTTTCTTGAGACAAGGTCTTGCTTAGTTGCCAAGGCTGGCCTCCAACTTGCCATCCTCTTATCTCAACCTACCGAGAAGCCAGGATTACAGGCATGTACCACCTTGCCTGGACAAACACCAAATCTTAAAAACCTATCGTTCTTTACTTACTTTTCTTAAACATTGTGAGGAAAATCTATAGGTCATAGCCCTGTTTTCTAAAATTCCCTTTCTCCTGCATCCACCTTTCTCTCCCTCCTGAAAATACTCCCATTCCTGCCTCTTCCGCCCATCTTCCTTACCTCTTTCACCAAAAACAAGTGAACAAACAAATAAGTCAGCTACAACATTTCCTACCAACACAGCTCACCTCTGTCCTTTTCCTCACTCCTCCCTCCTCCCTTTCCTTCCAACTACAAATCACAAAAAGCCCCCAAAGATGGTCAAAAAGCAAAACCTCTTTATGGGTCTGGAGGAGAGGAAAGGCTGGGAAAGCTTATAGAGTAATAATTTCTCTCTTGTTTCTTCTCACCTGCAAACCATAATTTAAAAGAAAATGAGCAGGCCCAGTTATACATTCCTGTAATCCCAGAGATTCAGGAGGCTGTAGCAGGAGGTTTGCAAGTTCAAAGCCAGCCTGGGCAATGTAGGCCCTAAGCAACTTATCAAAACCCTGTCTCAAAAGAAAAAATGAATTAGGGATGTAACTTAGTGGTGAAGCACTCCTGTGTTCAATACTAGTAATACCTCCCCCCCCAAAAGCCCCCAAAATAAAATAAAATGAAGAGATGAGAGGGAAAAAATGTCCCAGTGGCAAGTACTATTTGGAAGTAACCCCAGGACTTTGAATGCAAAGCCTGTGCCTCCTCCCCCCAATTTTGGGCACCTCTCTCCAAAGCATGGAAGGGGAGTCCCAGCCTTACCTGTCTATGCTGATGGCACAGAGGTTCAGGATGCTGGCTGTACACATCATGACATCCAGGGTAACAAAAATGTCACAGCAAATGCGGCTGAAATTCCAAACTCCACCTGTGACCTGGATGTCATAAATGAAAAGGATGTTAATTTTTCCAGTTTAAGGAACAACCACCCAACCAACTCTTCTGCCTCCCTTGTGTTTCTCAGCACAGATGCCCATATCCCTCCCTGCTCCCTGCCTGTTGTTGGTACCATTGTTACCGTAAGGCAGATGAGTGCCGAGGGAATGCCAGGCTGTCCAAGACTGGATGCTAAAGAAGGGACAAATTCACAGAATGTTAGGATGTAATGCTGGAAGTGATCTTCCAAATAAATTAGTGCATTGTGGTCCACAGTGAGTTACTCATTAAGGATGAGGATTTCTGAATCCTCCATAAACCTAGTGAATCAGAATCTATGGTTCAGGGGCCTGTGAATCTTCATTATTAAATAAATACTCTTAGACATACCAAGGTTTGAGAATCACTGATCAAGTCAAAAACAGGAACACTCCTGGTGGTTTAGTGATATGTCCAGAGATGCACAGCTGGTAGCCAAAGAGCTTGGCTGCTGGATGTGTGCATTAAGCCAATATTGCCTCTCTGAGCTCTCTACCCAGTAAAAGAGTTAAGAACACATTTTCGTAAAAGATAACTCCAAAGCAAAATCTGCGTGGCTTCTGGTTTGAAATCTTGGAAGCATCCTGAAACAACACCTATAAGAACCTATATAAACTAAGTGTATATCAGCATGGCTTCCTTTGACCCCCACTGCCACATCCCAGTCACCAAGAGGTGGGGGAAAAGGCTGGTCCAGGGAATTGGAAGGGAGCATGAATTCTCTCTATCCCTCGTGGATTTAGCAAGGATGGCTCTGACCTCATGCCTTTACATGTGTTCCAAGCTCCATAACCTCGCCTTCATACTTAACAAAAAGTCAGGAATTTGGTAATTTAATTTACATTCTAAAGAATTTCCATTTTACTTTTTAGACTTTTACATAACCTAGTTGAACCAGGAAAATGTGCCAGGAAGATTCTCATTTTCTAAATGTCCACAAACTGCCGCTCATGGGGCCTGAGGATTTGGGCATTTGCCATCTTCCTGCCTATTTGGGGACCATGATTCTCAAGGAGAAGCCCATGAGGCACGGTGCCTCTGGATGGCTGTGTGTTCATGATTCCCTTCCTGAGCATGCCTCCTGGCTTTTTAAAAGGGAGGAAGAGTAAAAAATAGGCATGGTGGCCTCTGAGATGGCTTCTCAAGAAAAAGAAAAATACTGACTGAATGTGAATAAAGATACTGCTGTTCTGCTCAGTGTTTCTCTTCAAGACCCTTCTGATATAACCAGTTCTCTTTACCCTTCATTTCTGTTTTATCCCAATAAAGCAAGGACCTGAAAGTCTATCCTTCTCCTTCCCAACAATTTCTTCCCTTTGGATTCATTTCTTTCTGAGCCTCCCATTTTCTCTATATTTGGTCATCTCCAGTATATTTTGAGAAATGCTGACCAGAGGGTTTTAGTTTAAAAGCAACAATGAAAAGTCAAAACATATGATGAAGTCATCATTTTTGTTCACTTTGGTTATGGATTTACTTTCTTTTAGTTCGGTCATTTTACTTTATATAAATAAAGTCCTAATGTGAATTTACAGGAATTCTGAGAATGAAAAACTTTTAGAAAGGGAGATGGAAATATTCTGATCTAAATAGTCATAATCATACAAGGATTTAAGTGAGAGAGAAAAATGAAGGATGGCTTTGCTTACCACAAAGGACAGTTACGTGCTATAAAATCTACTCCTCGAAGTTGAATTTTATATCCTAAATTTCATTTCAACATACGTCTACTAGGCAACTTAGGTCTTAAATGGGTCTTAAAACTACTTTTTCTCCCCATAATTGTGTTTGTGTGTTGGGGGGAGTGTTGATGAGAGAGGATAGTTAGGACAATACCCAACCTCAGAACTTGCCGGGTGCTCATTCATTTACTCATGCACTAATAAAACAAGTACCAGTAAAACTCCTAATATTTATTCTGTACAAGGAGGGGACATTATGTGTGTTAAGAAGTTAAACAAAATGTATTACAGAGTCTCTCCTTGAAGAACTTCCAAGATAACTGGGAAGCAAGGCATTCTGGAATACAAAAACTATAGACCAGCGTGAAAGCCTTATACTGTTAATACAAACTTTACATTTATTGAAAAATTATTCTACATGAGTCATCCACCCACATGACCCATTCCAGGAATTTCTATAACTGAAACTTCAGATTTTGAAAAATGAATTTGTTTTTTTCACTGCATATGCTCTTAGTGCTTTTTGAAGAATGTTTCATTTGATAAGAGATTAAATGGCAGTTTCTTAACCATCTCCATAGTAGCAGAGACATTTACTTGTTCACTGTTGCTTGCCCAGCTCTTAGAGTGGGGCCCAGGCATGGGAATATATTTTGGAGGATCGAATGGTCTTGAACATACTGTGTATTCATTCTAAAAACTAACATTTACTGAGTGCTTACTAAGCTCCTGATGTTCTGTTAAGCACTTTCCATATATGGCCTCTAGTACTGAATGTAATCCCATGAGAGAGGGCCATGAAGCTGAAAGTCGCTGAAAAAGCCACATCTCTCTTAAATGTTCTGCAGACTGACCTTGACTGAGTAGAACATCATAATTGTGAATAGATGGAATGTTGCAGGTCAAAAGCTACATTATCTTGGACTATCTTAGACCCTTTAGAAAAATAGCCATTTACTTTCAACCTCTGTAACTGACCTAACAGTCTTGTGACTATTAGGTAAGCCTTTTGGAATGTATCACTAACCTTAGCTGACCTCTAGCCTCCATCAGCCATAAAACTAAAAAGCGATTACATCTGAAACCTATACGAAAGAACTTCCCATTTTATTTTAGCCCACCTAATGATGTTCCTACCAATGTATTTGTTGAATGTGTTGATTTGTGACCTTCTTCATTCTGTGGCTATAAAAAAAAAAAAAAGCGCATGTAACTTCTTCCACCTCAGAATGTGTCACTCATCGTAACTTGAATCCATATTCCCCGTGTTATGGTCACTCATTTTGCTCAAAATAAACTATTATTCCTTTAAGCAGAGTTGTTATTTTAAATGGACAGGACTATTATTACCTTCATCCTAGAGAAAGAAACTAAAGCTTAGAGAGATTAAGCACATTGGTTGTAAGGCCAGTTGAGGCCAACAGGGCATTGGAATGTAGATGGTTAGTATTTGCTATAGGGAGGCATCAAGCCCTGGCAGGCAGCTGTTGCAAAAGGGACGGAAGTGGGTAGACACGAGAGGTAAGGAGAAAATCAAGTGCTCCTCAGGGATTTGTGTGTGACAGACTGTATCATCTCTTTTCTAGAAAATGAGATGCCTTCCTCATTGTCTTTCTACGAGGGTTGCGATAAACAGTGTAAAAGACAATGGTGGCTGCTGCCTTTGGGAGCCAGGTGAAAGGACACTCACCACAGCTTTCTTTGGAACCCTCTTAGAGGCCAAACCTCTCACTGCTGTCCTCTGGCTTACAGGCCTCCACCAGAATGCAACTGGCATTCTGGCTGTCCTCTTTTCCTGTCTCCAGAATATGCTATCAAAATTCTAATTCTCTCCTTGATCTCAGCTGAGTGCCAAGAAGAAAACAACCTGATTAGCTGATTAAAGTAATTCCCACTAAGGTGCCATCACTTAGCCTTCCCTGGAGCTTACTCATTAAAATGAGCCTCTAATTGGTGGGCTTGTAATAGAAATATATATTTTACTGTAGTTCTCCATACCATGTAAATAATAGTAAGGCGTTAACAAAGAGCAGCAGAAACCCTCACACACATGATCTCATTGCAACCCAGTGAGCTCAATATGATTCCAATTTATAGAAAATGGAGACATAGAGGGGTTATTTTCCTTAGGACACAACTAGTAAAAGGAAGTGGAATTTACCCCCTTAATATCAACCATGATTCCCTTCTGCCTCTTGGAGATCAGCATCTTGGCACATCACTTCTGAGAAGTGTACAATTTAACTCCTTTCTAATATCACAGGAAGGAAAAGAGTTGACATTTGTCCATTCACTTCCTCATATACCCACTCTTTATTGAGTGCCCATTATATACTGGATACTTGGTTTGGGAAAGTGTATTGAAATGAATTAAAACTGTTTTTGTTCCCAGGGTCTCCAAAGACTGTGTGTGTGTGTGTGTGTGTGTGTGTGTGTGTGTGTGTGTTTTAGGGGGAGTAATGTGTGAGTGGGTGTGGGGAATGGAGGGCCTAAAAGATAGATACTAAGAAAATAATAATGATGTAATATGCTAAGTGCTGACAGTGAGATAAGTACAAAGTGTTGGGAGATCATGAAAGGTAAAGCAACACTTAAATTTAAAGCAGAAAAAAAAAAGTAAAAATCTGATTGATTTAAGTAAGGCTCTTTAGAGACCTGATGCTTTCTTCTAAATTCTAATGAATAACTCACTTCAGAATTATAGGCAGCCAGGTGGTGTTACTCTTACTTGCTAATGAATCTAACTAACTCCCTTTGGCAATACAGAAGGTGGGAGTAAGCAAGCAGAGTCCTCAGGTACTGAAGTTGGCTATTGATTTTCCACAGACACAGCCTAAGGCAGCATTTCCCAAATTTACTGATTATAAGGCAGCATTTCCCAAATCACCCAAGGCTCTTGTTAAACAAATGATTTCAGACCCCTCTCCAAATAATAAGTCCCTCAAGTGATTCTTACTGCCTGGAAGGTTTGGGAAACATTGGTCGGGGGGGGTATAACATTATCTTCAGAATGATGTCCCTATAACAGAGCTAATTATGCATTCCTTATGCCATTGGTCTTTTGGCTATATGATCTCCTCACAGGAATGTTTTTTAAGGCACAAAGTAAAAACATACAACGGATCACAAAGGATACCAATGATATCGAATACAATTACCACATAAATGTACTTTTAAAATAATTCACTAAATAACAAGATCTAGTGGCAGGCCCCAAATCCCTCTAATTTCAAAGTAATGATGAATCTAAATAATATTTTAATATGTCTGCAACAACC